ATTTAAGCTCACCCAAACCTAACTATTGGTAGACTGTATATGGGACTAAGTTGACAACTAGCTGTAAGATCAAGTAAAGCTTGCTCAACCTTGAAGTTTTCTATAATCCATGAAATTGTTAGACAACACTTAAATTCTTTTTATTTTGGTGGGGGTCTTATGCTAAATAATGACACTAGCTTGCTTTGTAAGGAATGCCTCTCTTTTGCACATTGATATTTCTCTTGACATTGCATAAATTCCTTTAAGAACTTAGATTAAGAAGGGACTTGTTTGGATGGCATCGAGCAATGAAATATTTATCTTGACCTATTTGAACAATTCAAAAATCTCAGTATGATGATTTATCTTTTATGGCTTCTTCAACCTTTGGAAAATGGAGCTGGTATGGGACATGGTGGATCATCTTTCCCCTCAGGTGTAGTCACATCATGGGGAATTGGTGTAAATTTGATTGTAGAACTAGGACTCTAGGGGAGCTATGGTCTTATCGACAACCTTACCATTCCTAAGGGTGGTGATGGACAATGTATGTGCTCAAATGATGTTTCAGAAGTGGAAGAGACAACTATTTGGAATTGAACTTGGAGTGACTTTGGTTTGGGCATGAAAATTACCCTTCTCAATGGAGCTCAATGGTTGGGTCAACTTTTCTAAGTGACTCTTGATATCATCTATAGATTGTGAAGTTTGAGCCTTGAACTCATTAATAGCCTGGGTGGTTTTGAGCCTTGAATTCATTAAGAGCTTGAGTGATTTTAATGTTAAAGTTCATTTGACTCTGCATGAATTCATTTAAAGTGTCATCTAGATTCCTTTTTCGTGGTGGCTAGATGGTGGGTATTGAGGTGGAGGGGGATTGGTTCGTGGTTATGCTTGTTGATTGTTCCTCCAACTAAAGTCCGGGTGGTCATGTTGCCATTGATTGTAAGTGTCAAAATATGGGTTGGAATAAGTCCAATTAAAACCAGAGATTATATTAGATTGCTCCAACAAGACCTCCTTGAAGGTTGGAATAGTAGGGCACTCCCCCGTTGGATGCCCTGACAAAGCACAAATCCCACACATTTACTCTGTGGGAGGAACAATGGACACCTAATTAACCTTTTGTATCTCCAAGGCCTTAAGTTTACGGGCCATGGTGACAACCTTGGCCCTAAAAATCATCCTCTTCTTTGAAAACAAACATTCTCCCATGGGAAGTGGTGGCTCTGGACTCTCTACTTGGGTCGATGAAGCTAAGTCACACTTCTGGGAACTCTTTGCTAATATATCGAAGTAATCAAAAAGCCTCTAGTTTTTGAAAGTATGGTGAGGGAAAAACTTGGAGAAGATTCTTAAATTTTTTCCCAACACTTATAAAAGGTTTCCCCTTCCATGACAGAAAATTCATAATTTGATGTTTCAAAGTATTTGCACAATGAAGGGGGAAAATTTCTTGAAAATTTCTTTTTGGAGAGCTTGCCAATTAGGAATAGATAAGGGATTTAAGGAATTTAACCACAACTTAGCTTTATCCTTCACTAAGAAATGGAAAAGCTTGAGTCGAGCTACATCAAAGTTATCTTGAATGTCCCACACACATCCTCAAATTCCTTAACGTGTAGGTATGAGTTTTTAGACTCAAGCTCATGAAACTGCAGTAGTAACTGAATAGTGACCAGTTTAATAGTGAAATTTTGGACATTCACAGGAAGTATAAAACATGATGCACCATTGCTCCAAGCGGAATGCAGATAATCTCTTTGGGTTTTTCCTTTTTGATTAACATCTTCTATGTGATCACCTATCTCACTACCCGTTCAACTCAGATAAAAAGTGGGGAAAGTAACCAACTCAGTACTAGAATGACTAGATAAGCCAACTAACCCTACTAATTCTTTGAATAGGGATAGAGCGTGGATGGACTCAAATTGACCACTAGACATGCAATGTGTAAAAATAAATTATGAAAAATCTAACCTAAACAAAATAAAAATGATTGTATGGAAAGAATCTAAAAACAATCATAAAGATGGAACAAAGTTATCTAAATTTTTTTTTCTCCAAGTAGTTCGTTGATGAAGGTGGATTCTTATGCAAGCAAACACCCAAAAATTCCTATAAAGTGCCTAAAGCAATCCTATTTGGAGACCCACTCTGATATGAATTGTTGGAAAGAAATAAAACATGATATGTAGTGGGTTGTCCCTTAGACACAACCTAGAGAGGGTGAATAGGTTAATTAAAATTTAATGATTGGACAAACATCAACTTTAACCTAATTATACAACAATTATCTTTTATCAAGTCAATTTACCAATTAAGAATGAGAACCCCTTTTTAACAAGAACAACCAAATCTACGTCAGTAGATTGATGTTATAAATAGGTCAATTAACACTCAATTTCCCATAACAATCTCAACTAAGGAAAACACACCAACTTTGAATGATTAAAAGATAAAACAATTTAATCATCAAACACATAGTGCATGTGTAAGCATCAATTCCAAGTGTGTAGGAAAATTTAAAACAAACACTTGTTGACACGAAAACCCAATTGCAAAAAACTGTGAGAAACTACTTGGGGTTAACAAAAGACTAATCCACTATCCTAAGGTCAATCTACAACTACTCGAGTCTTATATCTCAATCAATACCACGGTTAGATGGTTCTTTCCTTTAATAGATCTCTTCACCAAAAGTCCCTCTTTGATGTTATGGATAGCTTCACTTGAATGCTTCCACCGTAATGGATCTTTTAGGCCTTGAGCAATCTTCTCCATCAAGATCCTTGGAGTGCACACTTCTATTAAGTGGATTATGATAAATCTCCAACCAATGTCTTCTTCACCAATGTGTGAATTTGGATTAGAGTCTCAAAATGGATAACTTTTGGATTAAGGGATCTAGGGCTTTTCACAATCGCTCTAGATGTTCAATAAGCATAATTTTACCCTCTAGATGCCTACCCTAGCATGAGAAGGCTTGCCTCTATTTACTTTGTCTTAGAGACCAAGTACACCAAATTTCATGAGGGACCGCTCAAGCAGTGTGAGGTCGAAAACTGCTAGAATGAAAAAAGAATACAAACCATAGCACAAGACTAGGGACCGCTCAAGCTATTTCAAGATAGCTTGAGCGACCCAGAGGGCAATCTCTATTGTCTAACTTAGTAGCCTTTTTTATTTTATCCCTAAGTATTCAGAGACCTCTCTAGTCGAAAACCAAGCAAAAATTTATCCTATTAAGTACTAAAGGGTGTTGCTTAAGTGGGGTCCGATAAATGACTCAATTTATATTTTCAAAATACAATTAAAGTTTAGAAAAACTTTTCTTTGAAAAGCCTAAAGTCATTTATGAAATTTTCCAATTCCATTTATAACGTTAATCATCCTAAGTCTATTGAATTAAACCAAGGGTTTCATAGGTCTCTAAGGTTATTATCTTTGTCTTAAACTTGAAGGTGCGTCAGAGTGATCTCGATATGACATTGTATTCTGATCTCCTTCCCTTCCTTGTTACTTACAAATTTTGATATTTGAAGCTTGATGACAATGGTATTAGCTAGGTTGAGATTACATAAGATTTTATGAAATTAGTCAATTACAAAGATGATCCTAACAAACATGATGATCCCAAAATGAATCAATAAACAATATTTAGATTTAGTAGAATACAAATGTGTTAAGAGTCAAACCTAGAAGCTGATTTCAGTATCGCATTACAATTGATTTCGATGAAACTGAAACTTGAAGCGGTAATTGGTGTAGTTGGATAATAATCTGATGGAGATTGCAAAGATCTATTGTAAATCTGATATGCTGAATGGATATCTTTGTGTGTGTGTGTGTGTGTGAGAGAGAGAGAGAGAGAGAGAGAGAGAGATAAGTACATTTTTCCCAGCTAGGGTTTTGCTTCTATACTCTTCACAAAAACTAGAGATCAACCCGTCTACAATGCTCTCACCCAAAGCTCATACAGTCATTAATGATGATGACTAAACTTGGAAGTTCATAGAGACAATATCTTAGAGGAAACAATGGGGAGAGATGATAGATGGAGAGGTTATACAAAGAGGAGACCGATGGAGACCAAAAGAGAAAAGAAGGTGATCGATCGATGGAGTTACAGAGAGAGAGAGAGAGGCGATCGATCAATGGAGTTACAGAGGGAGACAATCAATGGATTGGGAAGGAGAGTGGGATATAGAGTAAGTGAGATTGGCGAAACGACGTAGTGTGGATTGAGTTGGATGTTAAATATTTCTTTCGAAGAATCATTTTATTTGATTTTCCCAACTAAAATTACTTTATCGTCCAAAAAACAAATAAATAACTAATTCGCAAAATTTTTAATTATTTATTGATGTGAATATTAATTCCTCAATAACATCCCCTTTTGCCTACAAATATTTATTCTTAGGTAAAATATTCCTCGGTAACACCTATTTTCCTTGTAGTGATCAAAGGTGGAAGGATTTTTCCTGGTAAAAATCATATTCAATTTGATCGGGGAAAAAAAACTGAAGCTTGATACAGTGTCCATTTAAGAACGATATTTTTTTTTTGGCTCTACTGCATAATCATTGATTACTCAAATTAGGTGCAACGAGCGCTTGCTTATACTAATATGGATATCTTGTTATGCGTTGAAAATAGAACGTGGAAATGCGCATGAAGAGAGAGAGAGAGAGAGAGAGAGAGAGAGAGAGAGAGGAAGAGAACATGGAAGTCACTACTTGGACGCAGGAGACATGCCATCCACGATCTATCCGTATTCATGCTGCGCTCCTTTTTCTTTTAAATAGATGAATTCATAATCCCATCGCCGCGACTTTTGTCCTTGAACTCCATGGTGCTTCCAGCTTCTGATATGTTTCCTTGCCCAGTCGCTGGGGAAGGAGATGAAATCTACAGAGAAATTGCACTTGCTGTATCACGGGATGAATCTATACGCCAAAAGGAGTTCTTGTCCATGGAGAAACCAAAGATGACGATCAAAAGAGAGAGCCTGCAGATTGAGAAGCACATATCAATTGACCCAATATCCCTGAAAGAATCCGTCGGAGATGTGAGTTCACGAAACGGGATGATGCCCAAAAAAATTGCAAACTCTCACTTAGTTGTGCCGCTGGCCATTACAGCTGCTCCTACGCTCACTAATGAGCCACCTCCACTTCCACTACTACCACCTTCAAAGACCAGGTTCTTGAGTTCCAGCCTCCCCAATTCTGCATCGTCCTCTCCTCGATTCAGCTCAACAATGTCAAAGAAGAGATGGAAAAATCAAATCCAAGCCCAAGCACCTCCACTATCAATTAACCCTCTTGCCCGTCAACACTCGATAGCACTCTCGCGTCTTGCTCAGCTAAAAGCTGAAAGCCATCTACGAAGGAGTAAATCATGTGGCGAAGGAAGATCATGTACCCCATCCGATGATTTTGATCTCTGGTTGACCAAAGCGAATAGTATTCGACATAAACACATGCGTGGCCACAACAGCTTTTTCAAAACGCAATCTACAATCGATGATTCGCATAGGAGTAGGAGGGGCGACGAGGAGATAGATGAGAAGTTCAAATGCGGGGCTTTGTGCCTGTTCCTGCCAGGCTTTGGGAAAGTCAAACCAGTGCGGCCGAGAAAGGAGGAACCTGATAAAATGGGACATGATGTCTCCAGGACAGTTTCTCTGGAGAAATTTGAATGTGGGTCTTGGACTTCATCTGGAATAATAACTGAGTATGAAGATTATGGGGGAGATTCATCCAACTCCAATCTCTACTTTGATCTGCCATTCGAGCTAATCCGATGTAGTGTGAATGATGCTAACTCACCGGTCAGAGCGGCCTTTGTGTTTGATAAGGATCTGAAAGGGGTTCTGAAGAATGGTGCGTCGTCGTCAAGAGCAGCGGCCAGAAAATCCCATGAATTATCATCTCGCCATGTTCGGTTTTCTACTTCGTCACCAACATCATATCCTACCTCACCACCATCTTCCTGCATTACGCCACGCTTACGCAAGGCCAGGGATGATTTCAATGCATTTTTAGAAGCGCAGAGTGCATAAAAATTTTCTCAATTTTTTGTTTGTCGGCTACTTTTTTTTTTTTTGCTTTACCCCAAATTTCTAGAAAGAGAAATGCTATTAGATCTTATTTGAGAATCTTATTTAGAGAACTAATGATATACAACTATTGAATTGGTTGTGAATTCTATCAAACATTGACACTTACAACTAATTCAATAATTATATTAAAATTATATCACTAGATTCATAAATAATGTACCCAAATAAGATCACGTAGCATTGCTATTCTGGAAAAAGCACAGTTTGAGTTCCTTAGCCTTAATGGTTGCAATGTGTCCGGGCCATCATCAAGTTCGAAGTTTCTTAGTTTAGCCACAATATATTAATGTGGATTAACCTGCTCATTTACTTTTCTATTTATTTCTTTTATTTCCCCCTTCCTTTTTCTTTTAATTTTTTTGGAAGTAATTTTCATAGGACTTTCCCACAAGGTTACTCTCACTCATACATGCTTAACTATGGTGGAATTAATGCACTACTCTTGATCTGATCTCATATTTATTTAAAACAAAAATTGAATTGCAATTTTTTTTTCAATGCCAAAATAAAACTACTGCTTATTAAACAATTAAACAGAGATTTTTTCGGTGGTGGTCTAAAGAAGAAGCAGGGTCCCATTAACTTTTTTCAAGATGATTAACTAATCCAATAATTCACATTCATTTGGTAAATATTTAGTAAATCTTTTCTTTATTAATCATGTCATTTCTCCAAAATTATTTTAAAATTTTCATCCAGCAAGATGTTCCTTATGGTCCAGGGGCTAGTTCCTGAACAAAATCCTAGATGCTATATTTGCGTTCCATAATATAGAAGGGGATTAGCTTGCAAAGAAAATATATGCATTAAGCAAGAGTGTTGGAACACCTAAATGCTCAAAATATGTACTATAATTTAAATTAAAACTTAAGCTCGGGGAAATTCCCAATTACAAACTTATTTTTCCTTTACCAATGATGTGGGGAAAATTAGTTAACACATTTGGGAAATCTCTGACATGGGTAACACAGTATAAAAGTTATCATTGAAAAATTTGCCAAGCTTCAACCTCGATGGGGAGAGCTCCGAGCTGCACCAATCTTGATAATCAGTTATGCCCAACGTGACTGACTCTTGATAAAAGGCTGGGAGATAAGATTAACCACAATTCAAAAATCAAATGCCTCTCTAGCCAAGTCAGGAACGTCTATTCGGTGGGGAAAGAGTCAAGACCCCTCATTATAGAGGAGTCTCCGACTCCTCATGAGGAAGGGGTCTTGTCTACATGAAAGACTGACCAGGGAGTTCAGACTGCTCTAATGGAAGGAGTCTAACCTCTTAACAATGGATCTGGGAGCCTAGAGTCCACTCTCCATATTTTTCACCAGATTAATTAATGACTTAAGCATCGGATGGTCAACCGCCAAAGCTCCCCTCTCCAGTCTTCGACCTTTTTTTTTTCTGGATTTCTTAAGCTTCGGAGAGCTGACTTGGACCCTGGAAAAGATAACTTAGACCCTTGAAAGACAGAGATGGACCCTTAGATAGCTGATTTGGCATGAACAATTTGTCGTCGTCAGTGGAAAATCTTTAATGACGATTACTAGATCAATAGAGGCGCTATAGACAACCTTCCCAGAGAACAACATTCCCAAGAGTTTCCCGAAGGGGATAATCATGACAGAGATCCCTTCGAGCTTGCAAACAACAAAATACTTAAGGAATGCTTAACTTGGAGGGCAATTCCGATAGAATGAATGAAACCATGCAGGGTTTAGCCTAGTAGACTCCATAAAACCTACAGATGCTTGCTGAAAGGCTTCCTTAGCAAGTCTCCCATTTGGAAAAGACATAGCATAATCAAGCAAGGGACATATGAGATGAGAAAAGCCACAATGACACTCCTCACCAAAGTTAAGAGAGGTGAATGATCATATCAGAGATATATTCAATGTGAATGACCACAAAGACACTCCTCAATGTTTGAGCTATTAATGGAGTTTCGGTATGTTTATAGGTAAAGGGGCTTAAATGGTGCTTGTTAGGCCCTATCATGGTGTTTGAGGTGATTGGAGATGAGGTAGAGGCTTGATGATAGCTTGAAAGGTGAAGGAACTAAGAATTTAGCAAAATAAGGGAAAAACTACCAATAAGTCATACCGGTAGGTTTTGGCTACTGGACCTGCACCTACCGATAGTTTTTGCTCACTGGAGTAAAACCTACTGGTAGGTTTTCATCGACCTACCCGTAGGTTTTACTGAAATACACCAGATTTTATAACTCAAGCTTTGCAAATTTAGGGGTCCCACCATTGGGTCTCCCATTTGTCCCTGACACTCCTTACACACAAGACATCCCCTACTCAGCACTAGCTTATACTTTGGAGGCTTGAACATTAATGAGGAGAGAGAAAACACAGGAGCCTGGGAGTGTAGGCTAGGCCTATGCTAGCCTACCAAATCCATCCATTCAGCCACCTATCGATGAGAGGGCCATCACACAGACCCTAGAGGCTCTATGGACGTTTTTGGCAGAGGGATACACCATTATTAAGATACATATTGCAATATAGAGAGGGAAGCTCCAAGGAAGAAGATGAAGTTCAGAAGTTGATATTTTTGCATTTTCTTCCATCATTTCACTTGTAATTTCTTGTAAGACTTGTTTAAGCTTCATTTAATGTATTTAATATCATTTATTACAAGCACATTTCAAGTTTAGTCTTAAATTTTAGATTTCACCATCAATGCATTTAAGTTCTTCATTGTCAAGCTTTAAAATAGGTATTGCATATTTCTCTTCATAGTTTATGTTTTCTTGCATTAAGTTAAGTTCTAATCTTCATTTCTTCATTATGTCTCTTTACATTATGCATGTCTTTCCCTTTAGTATGAGTAGCTGAATTTTATGTTGGCTAATACAAGGGAGAACTTCTTTCGGGTATGCCATTTCAACTCATTTGCTTTCCTCCTTGTAGTGTATGTTGATACGATTTGACTAGGTTGAGTGTGGACGTGGTTGTGAGTTCTTGATACACTGTAGACTTGTCACGGAGTATGCTTGAATCCTCATCTCTATTTTAGTTTCGCACTTCCTATGAATCAATCGAACATCTAGGCACCATTGGAGAAAGGTCTTGAGTTGATTTGACATTCCTATTGGAATGACCCATTTGGATTAGCCAACACTTGTTCCATTTTATTTTAATAAAAAACACAATCACCAAAACTCAAACTCAAAGATTTTTATGCTTTACCCTTTTTCACCAAAATCACTTTCAAAACAATTCACCTCATTACCTAAGGAGACGACCTTAGAATACGATTTTTAAGTAAAACACGACACTCAAAAGTCTCTTTGCGCTTGGGGAGCACTTTTATTCATACACACACACACATTTCATTCCACGCACCCGTTTTCCTATTCCTTGTATTAAACCCAAGTGAGAGTGACACTCACCCACACACATAAGCCATACACACATTAAGGGTTCATGTGCGGAGGTTTGGATACAACGACGGGGAAACCAATCAAGCATTTTTGGCACCATTGCCGGGGAAGGCAAGTGTTGAATTGAGAAGGTGATTTGGACAACGGAAGTAAGTCCCATGATCTTTATCATGGGCTGAGGTTTGTTGCTCCTTGTATATACATTTGTTTGTATATATTTTTATTTGTAGATTGTGTGTTTTATGTGGGGACAAGATTAACAAAATCGATTGGTTAGACAACCCATAGGCCCCAACAAGAACATTAACCAAGACCCACCCGAGGATGCAGGTGACAATTTTAAGAATGTAGGTGTAAATTCGAACATTCAAAGGGGTGAGGGAGCACAAGACGCTAGAATGCCTAATCTACGAATGCAATTCCCCCTCCTATGAATGAAGGGAACAACATCCAAATTGATCATCCGGCGAGGTCAATGAGGGATTACCTTCAACCTACAAGAAGCAATATCCCTTCATCTATTCTATTACCGATCCAAGCTCATGGCTTCCTAGGTAAGCCAGGGATGTTGCAATTACTTCCTACATTCCACAAAATTAAAAGGGAGAACCCTTATTTGCACATAAAGGAGTTTGAGGAAATAGTTGCAACATTTCTCACTAATCATGGTATGGAAGACATATCTAGAATAAAATTGTTTCTCTTTTCCCTGAAAGATAAGGCAAACACGTGGCTTAATTCCTTGAAGCCTCAATCCATAACGTCTTGGACTCATATGCTCTTCGAGATTTTAAACAATTTTTTCCCGGTGCCTAAAACCACCGCTCTTAAAAAATAAATTCAAATTTTTTTGGAGAAGTCCAATGAGCAATTCTACCAATGTTGGGATTGCTACAAGGAATTGCTACAATCCATTCCACACCATGACTTTGAACTATGGCAATTGGTGAGTTTCTTCTATTAAAGAATCACACCGGGCCATCGACAGTTCATCAACATGATGTGTAATTGGGAGTTTTGAACAATGATCCTGATGATGCCTCAGAATACTTTGATACATTGGCATAGAATGCACAATCATGGGACATTACATATCCCACTGATGTACCGAGGTCTTCTTCTCAAGGTAGTACTCAAGCACATAGGGGAGGGATGTATGATTTGAGAGACTGGGAAGATTTTCTTTCCAAAATTGCCAAGTTGTCTAGAAAAGTGGTGAGTCTTAAGGTAAATAGGATACAGAAGGTGTCCAATGTGACTAAGACCGAGGAGTCTTGCTTGATTTGTGAGAGTGTGGATTATTCTATATCAAAGTGCCCCAACATTCCGGCCATTAAGGAAGTGTACCACAAGTAAGTCAATTCTTTTAACCAAACAAGGCAATCATTCTCCCCGCACTCAAACACTTACAATTTGGGTTGGAGTAATCACCCAAACTTTAGTTAGAGAAATGAGAATCTCGTTCCTTATGGATCTAATGCATATACACCTCTCGTGCCTCATAAGCAAAAACAATACCAAGGCCAAGGTCAAGCCTCTAGCTCCCAAT